GGGGATGGGGAAGGAATTATGAGACAAAGTATCTAATTGCATGTCCGAAGTCTTTCAGTCTTTTTTCACATTTCAAAATCAACTTTTTTTTAAAAATTATTCTGAAAAAAAAATTATTCTAAGGTTTAAAAAAAGTGAAAAATCCTTCATTCTATATCCCCATCTTGGCTATTCATAATGCACAGAGTACAAAAGACATTGGTTTGATTTTGGTTTTCCCAGTATATTATTTGGAATCCTTTTACTATACTCTATTACACCTTCACATCATCTGCTCACATCCTACAATGTCCTTAAAGCACACTTTGGCAAATTCAGCTTCATCTCAACCAGATATGATTCAAAGACTGCTAATCTGAATTGTTCCCATGCAGAGTATCAGAAACCATTGTTATCAACCATACATATACCTCTGAGACTACACCAGAGAATCCTGATTAAAATGCTTGTTCATGTGAAGCCAAAACATGATTCTATTAGCCTACATATTGTGCATTCTACACATACTCTGAGCCTGTGTTGGGAAGATGTCATTGAGTTTCAGTGGTTTTACAGCTAAAGTGATAAGAGGCAGTATGACTGTAATCACTGGGTGGATAATGGTCCATTCTGGAGATCATTACAATGAGTCAAATGATTGAGAGACACATTTATTTGTGTGTCTTTGGATACTAGCATTCATTTCCATTCTGTGTCATTAACACAGCAAAACAAAGCATTGATTACCCTCTTCAAATTCTGGTGGAGATGGTCATGTTTAATAAGGGGGAAAGCAAGTGATTATTGAGTACAGTTTGCAGATGACAATCAGCCTATGATAAATGCAATCCACCCCTGTTCTGTATGAAAAAGAATGGAAAGTACAACTATGGCATCTCTCATACCACCAAGAAGAAGGCAATGTGACTTCTCACGCAGACAGATTTTTCAATTTTTGTCAGCAGATGGATACTCTACCATTAACTGCAGTGTGGGGGTGCACTGACATCTAGTGGACAGTCAAGTCATTGATATTTGGGGCACAAAATACACCATAGGAAATAGTAAACTACATAATATCAATAATATTTGAGAAAACTCAGTTCAAATAAAATTTTAAGCATAAAAATAGATGTTTGTTTTTCTCATGGGTGAAGCCAGTTAGTTAAATTCATATTTAAGTTAATACATTTTGAAGACATTTCCCTGTTAAAAATGCCACCACACTGTCTTATAAAACATAATGCATAATTATGCATAACATCTGCATAATTAGATGCCAACCATAATTAACAAGTTTATATGTAGTTTTTATGTTTACATAATACCAGAGACACCCTAAAGATGGCATGGAATGCTGTCCATTTCACATGATTTTGTCTAATTATCAAAGACATGTGAATTAATACACTTGAGCCACCTACCAGGAAAGAATTTGAGAATTTTACAAGTTTGATCAAAAAAGTTGCAAAACTGGGCCTCCCTGGTGGTGCAGGTGGTTGAGCGCCACACTGTTAAGCTGTCTGCCACACTGTTAAGCGTGGGTTCGATCCCCGCCGACTGGAGAGAATCCAATATGGCAAAGCAGACCTCTCCTGTCTCATCCGCTGCTCCCCTCAGCACTGTATTTCTTTAGTTCTGTTCCCCGCTCTATCTGGTGAATCCTCTTACCCTGCCACACATCTGGCCTGTACCCCAATTCTTGTATAAAAATAAATAAATCTTTAAAAAAAAGTTGCAAAACTGAGTCATATGCATTGCAAGAAGGTGGCATTTCAAGTTGAAAGAGAAAGTTTGTGTGCCTAGGTTTCTACGCATTGCTGACCAATTGAATCTGTGAAATAGATCTTTTTATCTTGTTTATTGAATGAGATGTTGTAGGAAGTAATTAGTGTGAAATGGGGTAAGAAAAATAGACAACATCTGTCTCTCCAACTCTCAGATTGTGAACTAACTGAGAAAGAGAGTAAACCACTAAATCAGACAAAGATTTAAAAATACAAGTTGTACACTTGGTAAAGCCAATTGGAGAATGTTGCTCATCCCATAGTCAGCATAGATCTTTTTAATATTGTCTTTTCTTTGTGGATTGAATATATGCTGATATATTGACAGTGCTTCTAACCAGTCCTTACAGTTTCTATTTTTTCCCGATATATCAATTGCTAACAATTTCCTGTACTTTATTTTATTTATACTTTTAAGAAAACAATGATCCAAAAACTCAGAAATAGGGTTAAAAATGATGTGGCACGACTTTCAATGTCATACTAAAATTTTGTATAATGGGATAACACAAAAAAAATTTAATTTTCTAAGAAAACATACCTGTATTTGACTTACAACTTATTATTTGAATAGACCTCCACCACCATGAAGTTATATGGTATTTGGTAGATACCTATACTGAGAAATTAAATATACAAATGGATAGTGGTCAAACCATATATAAAAATAGAACTCTGACCCATGACCAGTAGGAACCAGCCCAGGAAACCAACTCCTTGTCTATAGTAAATAGCTCAGGAAGTCAGACAGCTATCTCCAGTAACAATCCAGGAAGCCAAACAACTTTTGTAAAAAGACAGCCAAAAATAGCTAAGGTTGAATCGATAACTGACATGTTCTTTAATTTTTATCCCTAATTCCATCTTAGGATAGATCAAAGAAAGCCATACAAATACCTCCAATCAATGGCATATGATGCCCTGTTTCGAGTTATTAGAGCTACGACTTCCTTGTATCAATAGCCCTACCAGTCAGGACTGAAGCCCTTAAGCCCTTTTTTTATTGCTATGAATTTTTCCTACTCTTATGCTTGCCTTTGAGACTCTTTTAAAAGGCAAGTGATCTGGCCTTCTGGGTGGCACAGGGGTTAAGTCTCAGTGCTTTCAAGCTATTGTCAGTCACTGTGGATTGAGTTCCATTCCTCGCCAGGGAGCTAACCCACATGGCGCAGCAGACCTCTCCTATCTCGCTGACTGCTCCCCTCAGCAGTGTATTTCAGTAAATCTGCCTGTTCTGCTCCCCATTGTGTCTCCAGTGAATCCTCTCACTCCCTCCACCAGCACCTCTGGCCTGCACCCCAGTTGTTGTATGCATAAATAAATAAATCTTTAAAAAAAAATGTAAGTGATGTCGACTGACTCCCTTGCTACAGCAAACTCTGAATAAAAACATTTGCTTGTTTGATTGTTCTTCATCTACTTCTATGGCCCAGTAGATAGGAAAATATCAAAGGTTAATGTCATACTGGCTTGTAGAACATTTCCCAGGTTTGTATATTGCCTAGCAACCTTATTTTAACAACTTTTTGCTAATGTCTAGAAATAACTGTTCCTTTTATGTTCATGGAACCAGTATTACTATCCCACTTGTACCTAATTACTGAGTTGACTAAATAGTTGACATTTATTCATCCTATATTTGTATGGGAATTATGTTTTTAACATTTTGAAAATTATACATTGACAACAGAAAAGAAACAGAATGCCTAAAAACATCTAAGGAGAAATTTAAATCCATAGTTTGTTAAAAGAAGAAACTAGATACTTATTAGATCTATAGGATGTTTTCAATTATTATAATATTGTAAAATAATTATTGTATTTGTTGACAGAATTTACCAAATTTCCTGACTATGAACTATTTGGAGTTACACAGCTGTGAGTGACTCAGCATGAAAGTTATATTAGTCAGTTTTTGGCATTTAACAACCTTCCCCCTCCCCCAAATCCTAGAGTCAACATTTATCTCACTCAAAGGCATGCAAGTCAGCTGAGGGGACTCTGCTTTAGATGTAGGTAGGGTTCAGTTCTTCAGATCTGCTCTACCGTTGGACTATTTATCTAAAACAAATTCTCCCCATGGTGATGACAAAAAGATCAATAGAACAAACTAAACCATGCAAGCAAACTTCAGCTCATATCAAGCTTGCTAGAATTCCACTGGCTAAAGCAAATTGGGGTCAGTTGAGCCCCAAATTGAGGGTGGGGAGGAAGGGACGTATACTCCATATATAGTGCAAAGTCACACGTCAAAGGCTGTGGATGCATAAACCTCCAAAAGGGAAGATGTGATTTAATGTAACCTATAGCAAAAGCTAAACAACAGAGGAAGAAAAGACTGTGGACCAATTTCAGAAAACATGGAAAATGGCAAGTAACTCAGTTCCTAGGGTGAAGGATATAAAGCTGATGTAATCGCAAATCTTGAAGATATTTGAGATATTCGAGAGTAAAAGTCACAGTTTCAGAAGCATTTGCAGGTAAGTCTGAATCAGCTTTAAAGCTCTGACAGCCTCTGTAATGCAAATTTAATAGACCTAATGTGAGGCGTTTGCCCTGTTGCTGCACTCTAGTTCCCACAGACAAACTGAGCTGGAAATAAACCAGGCCCTGCAAGTAGAGCCCAAATTCTTGGATTAGGGTACAAGTATATTCTAAATAAATGCACAAATAAAATTTCTGAACATCTTATTCTGCAATGTAATTGCAGTATCCATGAAACTACTGAAATTAAATCTAAAGTCTAACTTCATTGTTATATATGTTCATCTCATACTTATCAAGAATTATTATCTATTAAAATATTAAAAGCTCACTGATTGTGACAGATGGCTTTGGATTAGAGTTTATTTTTATATTAATGAATTTATCAAACTTTGAAAATGCACTTATGAAATTAATAAAATAAGTATTTCAACTATCAATAAATTAAGATCAACCACCTTTTGAAGTTTACCCAAATATCAGTGTTCAATTACATAGTGAGCTGGTGAAAAACTTGAGATGTCTAGTAGAAAATGCCTGCTTGCAACCCAAGTTGCTTTTTCAGGCAATATCATATGTGTGAGATTTTTTTCCACAAATTTATGTGGTTTTAGTGCCCTCATTTTCAGTGCTATATTGCATTCCACTGACTGTGCATTCCATTTTTAAAAAATCATTCGTGTATTAAAATAAACTTTTAATAAAGCCAAATTAGTGGTTAGAAGGGAAGGGTGAGAGTGGATGTGTTACCTGATAAAAGGCATCATTTATATAATGAAGGATAGACTTGGGCTTTTAGTGGTGAACTTAATGTAGCATGCACATTTGTTGATTTGTGATGATGCATACCTGAAAAGCATAAGTTAAAATGCAGTATTACTTCAATTAAAATCACAGTCTCATACTGATAGTAAATGTCAGTGATTATTTTATTTTTTAAAGATTTATTTATTTATTTATCTATTTATTTATGCATATAAGAGGTGGGGTGTAGGCCAGAGGTATGGGTGGTGGGGGGTGAGAGGATTCACCAGAGACAGAGTGGGGAACAGAACAGGCAGATCTACTGAAATACACTGCTGAGGGGAGCAGTGGGTAAGATAGGAGAGGTCTGCTGCACCATGTGGGTTAGCTCCCTGGCCTGCAGTGAGTGGCTACTGACAGCTTCACAGTGCTGAGACTTAACACCTTGCACCACCAGGGAAGCCAATCAGTGATTATTTCAGTTTGCCATACCCAGAACATTCTTTTTCCTTCGTTTGTCAGATGACAAACATGTATCCTAATGTAACTCCTGAGCATGACATCCAACATGCATCATGGTTGTAGCTGTAAGTATGCAGAGAGGGTCCACAGGAGTAATCTGCAGCTTCTTCACAACATTCATTCACATAGAGACCAAGACTATTCCAGTAAGAGGAACACTGAAGATGTTCTAGTCTGGGCCAGACTTGCTGCCTCTTCATGCATCTGTGGTTAGTGAATGGGGGATTGAATGGTCTCAGATAGTCTTACATTTTTGGCAGTAGGGTAGCGATTGACTAGGGCAACAAGCAGCCGGACATTGGTCTTTCATCCTCCAAAGGCCATGAGGGGAGGATAACAAAATGACACGGACATTCCCAGAGCCTGTAAGAATGTGAACTGGCCACAGCATAACTTCTTCTACACTTTATTGGCCAAAGCAAAACACAATGCCAGCTCGCTTTCAGGATAACATTCCAACTATCTGTTTGTCTATAACAAATCACCTCAAAACTTAGTAGATTCTTTAATAATTACAATTTATTTGCCTCACAGATGTGCCATTTGAGCAGATCTACCACTTGAACTACTGGGACAATTCATCCCCGCTCCACTAGATGTCAGCTGGGCAACTCGACTAGGGACGGAGGTTCTACTCCAAGATGACTCAATCACATGGCTGCAAATTCTCCCTGTGAGACCTCAGGGGACAGATTAGCTTCCTTACAGTGTGCTGGCTGGGGACCAAGAGCAAGGATACCAATGGACTAGAAATGGCAGTTGCTAGTTTCTTAAGATTTGGCCCAGAAACCAATATAGTACCTTTTCTACCATATTCCTTTCTTAGAGCAGTTACCCAGATTCAAGGGGAGAGGAAATAGTCTTATCTCTCAATAGAAAGAGTGTCAAAGAATGTGGGAAATCTCCATTTTATTATTTCTTTAAATTTTCATTTTCATCAAGGTAACATTGTTTTACAACACCATAAATGATTGACGGGAACAGGGTCTTACCTCCTCTGATGTACGTAACCACAATGCCAATGTACCCATAGTTGTTTACCATAGACCACTGGGTCCACTATTTTTAAAAATTGCCATAAGCAGGCTCTAGGTTCCACCCCTGATGGGAGAAGTGATAAAGGCACCTTGGGAAGGGCATGAGTGGGTACTAGAAGTCAAGAGTTGCAATCATTTTCATAATTAACATGAGCAGGGAGGGGAAGATTTCAGATTCAATATTCCCTCTGTTCCTTTTAACTAAGCTATTATTTTATTTTTCTCAGCCTTATGTTAGCTATAACACATCAAAAGGTAAATTTACAAATGCATCTCTTATATTTTCAATGGCTTGGAGAATTTTATATATAAAGGCTTTCTAAGTGTTTCCCTTTTATTTCAAAATAAATGTTAGTACTTTAGCTCCCTTAGAAAGATGTGAAATCATGTTTTATTGATGGGATAACTATTATCCAACAACAGTGTACGTAATCATCTTATTCCACTTGACAAGATGAACATAGCCATTTTTTTGCACAGAAAAGACAGTGAAGTACTCAATTACAGCTATGTGATCAATGTAAAATCTCATTTGTATGAACAGCGCAGTCATTGATTAGACATGGGGCAGGAAACTTTGTAAGCTGTATCCACCCAGAATTTTCTTTAAGCTATCCTCTCTGCCTTATGGATAACGATTGAAATGACCTAGAGGTCAACCAAACAGAATTACCTGCTGAATTTCCGCAGTCTCATTCACAGAAGGCTCCAATGGACACAACCACTCTTTTGGGGAATAAATTCTAAACTCCATCTATTAATTCTGTTCCCAAGCCCCTGATTTCATTCCCAGGGAGTAACCTGATTTCAGGGAAAAGATTTGACCTCCTAGAAGTCCTAAATGTAAAATACCTACAGCATCCAGAGGATGTTTTAATAAGCCTAGTCCATATGCTCTAAGCAAATATGACTTCCAGGAGGGCATCAAAGTGGTAACAGCTACGATCCATTGAGTCATAGACTGAGACAATGTGAGTCAGTCTCTATACTATGAACTTTTCAAATGCTCTCAGTAAGGACTAGAGTTGGTCATAAGTATAGGAAATCTTGCTTATAACAGCTTTTTAAAAGAGTCTTTTTTGTTTATTTTAATGCACCATGAAGCATAAGGATCTGGCCTCATGATTCAATCAGCTACCTCTGCTGCTTTCTGTTTGGATATTCTTATTTATGGCTTTCATCCACATTTGTCTCCATGATGCTAAACGTTGTCTGTTTTTTCCTAAATTGAAGCCTCTAGGGAGATCTTCCTAGGGGAAGTCTGTCTGAGATTACAGACAGCACAGAAGGAAATCTATAGTTCTAAATGCTTGTGTTGGGGGGAAAGATCAGAAGTTAATTTACTAGACAGGCAAAATAAGAATTTAGAAAACAACAAGGTCAACCCAAAAACTGAGAGGAAGAAGAAAATACCAGAGAAGATCAAAAAACAGGATCAAAAAGTCAAAGGTTAGCTCTTTGAAAAATTATTGAGATGGACAAAGGCCTAGTAACATTCAGCAAGAAGAAAAAGTGAGGTAGGGACAAAAATAAATACTGTTAGGAATGAAAGGATAGACATATAGGCAGATTCAGCAGATTAAAAAGCACAAAACATTGTAAGTCATTTTCATACCAACAAATTTGATAACAGATAAAGTGGATAACTTTCTAGAAATATTCAATTTAACAATATTGATTTGAAAAGAAATAGAGCCTAAACAGTACTCGAGCCATAAAGGAAACAGACTCAGTAATTTAAAACCTTCCCACGGGTAAGATATTTTTTAGGAAGTTTCTATCAAATTTTCAAATATATTCTTCCAAAAATACAAACTCTTGCAGAGAACAAAAGATGAAATATTATCCCTAGTTCATCCTGAGAAGGCAGAACAATTCTCATCCAAAACTTCAGAAAAGAAAATGAAAAAGACCAGCTTGTTGCAATCATTGAATATCTTTATGACCCAAGGGTAGAAAAGAAGCTCTTAAACAAATGGACAAAATCATTAACTATAATAGAAAAGAATGATAAAATCTACATTAAAATTAATACCTATCATTGAAAAAAAAAGCACTGTCAATGTATTCAGGCATCATAAAATAGGAAAAAAGATATTTCAAAATACATGTTTAAGACAAAGCATTGATGTGCAAATATAGAAAAAATCTTCAATGAATAAACAAATGCACAAAAGACAATCATATTTTACACAGAAAAGAATTACAAATAGCAAAGGAAAAAAAGGGTGAGTAACTATGTCATCAATGAGGGAAATATGAATTAAAATCCTATGAAGTTATTTTAAATAGACTAGATAAGCAAAAAAGAACTCTGATTATACTGTACCCCAAAGAGTGAGTCAATTAAAACTTTATGCATTTCATGGGCATGTGGAGGGGGCAAATTGTTAGAGCAACTACACAAGCAATTTGGCTTTTTCCCATAAGTCCAAGAGTTCACTATCCTAAGACATAGTTATTCCTTGCCTAGGAGTACCCTAGAGAAGCTCTTGAACATATATACTAGGATATAGTTTCTAGGATGTTAATAATGGGACTATAGCAAATAAGGAAATAGTTTAAAGTGCTCATCAACAGGAAAATGGATAAATAAATTATGGAATATTCAACTAGTGACTACTTTATAGCATTACCCATTGAATAAGCTATAGCTATAGATAACTATAGTAAGGAATTTTAAAAACATATTATTGAGGGAAAAAGCAAGAACTGAGAAACTAAGATGATACCTTTAGAGACATCTAAAAGCAAGCAAAAAATATACCATAATACCACATCTGAAAGTTCAAGCAAGCTCACCCCAAATGTGAAAACAGCATCTAAAAAAATAAACAAAGGGTTTTATAAGCAAAATTAAAGACAGAGGCTAAGTCTGGGGTGGGAGGTGCTTCCTATGGAAGCACTAACAGGCACACTCAGTGGTGCTGATATTTTAATTCTTGAGTTAGGTTGTGGGTACAACACAGGTGTTTATATATAGGTAGGTCTTATAACTTACATATATGTTATTCTTTTGTGTATATCAAATACTAGATAATATTTTTATTTAAAATGAGAGATAAAAATGATCTGGAAGCTCCCTATTGAACCAGGAAGCTTCTGCAACACTGCTGGCTCCAGATAAACGAATGCTGCATTCCCTGCACCCTCCTCAGTTAAACACATCGAGACAGGTCGGAAAGGATGTCAACAAGCTAATACACAGCATGTTATCATCATGTCTAACATAGTGTTAGAGGTGGTTAAAGACTGTGAAAGAAGGAAAACATAGTTTTTCCAAACAGTATCTGAAAATTATATGATCAATTACATAGAAAACTCAAGAAGCAGAATGTAATGGTTAATTTTATTATGTCAATGTGACAGAGCCATAGGATGCCCAGATAGCTAATAAAATATTTGCTCTGAATGTGCCTGTAAGGGTGGTTCTGGAACAGGTCAGCACATGAATTGGTGGACTAGGTAAAGCAGGTTGTCATCCCCAATGCAGGCGAGCATCATCCAGTTCACTGAGGGTCCACATAGAACGAGAAGGTAGAGGAA